GGCTCGCCCACCAACCAAACTAAGCATCGGTGGGTGCCTTTTAGTGTTTCAATATGAGAAAATGCTTGGCCTAATCATTGTTCTCTCAATAAAGATGTTGGGAGGGGGAAGAATGAACATAAATTTTTTTATATTTTGTGGGGAAGCTAGAGGGAGGATTTATAAGTTGATCATATGATCGTAAATTGTTATATTTAATTATTTATTGCTTGCTATTTTTCTTTTGAGGATAAATTCTGAAGTCTTCTTTTCCTTTTTTTTCATTAATATTTAATAGATATTTTTTACTTTTATTTTATTCAGCTTCTACATTAAATTAACTTGATATAAATTGAACTTCAGTGCTTGTTATCCTTATTATTTTATTTACTCCTGTATTTTTTGCATGTTTGACGCAACAGAGGAAAGTTCAAAGACCGGCCTTATAATCGGTGAGTGTCATATTTCTTTTGCCATCTTTATGACTTCTAAGTGTTATTTGTTAAGTGAAACTTGATCACAAGATGTCAATGTTGATGCTCTACTTACCAAGTGAATCTTGATCGCTCGGAAAGGTTCTGCGTTATTCTTACATTTGAACAATTCGAGCTTTAACAATCATTTCTATTTCTTCCAAAGAAAAATGTGCTTTCTTTTCTTATTAATTCACTAACTTTAATGAAGCAAAAATTAAAATGACCATTTCGGTCTTCAATGACTCCCTTTCTTACTTGAGAACTCATCCTGCACATTAAATTCTACTTCTAAATCTGTAAATAATTTCAGACAATTAACATTTCTTTCCACCGTAGTAAAAAAACATAACCAAAAAAATATGGAACTTTGTTACAGAAACCCCCTAAATCTTTATCTAATGAGATGCTCCTAATCATAACTCTACCCTAGCAGGTCTGAGCACGGCCGGAGGATTTAGCTTCATCATGTTCTGCTCCCTTTGCTTTCTCATTTACAGACGCTGGAAGAAGAAGCAATCCTCTTCTACCTCAAACTTCCTTGACCGAAGCCCTTCTTCTGCAATGTCTTCCAAAACTGACCCCGAACTAGGCTCCTCTGTCTACACTCCCATCTTCTCCTACGATGAGCTTTATGAAGCAACCAATGCCTTTGATGCCTCCAAAGAACTTGGTGATGGAGGCTTTGGTACCGTTTACAAAGGTAATTACTATCTCAACTGTTCTCAAAAACAAACTTTGATCAAAGTCCTCCTTGAATCTCTCTTCCTAAACTTCTCCTAATTTGATTTCAGGCAAGCTGAAAGATGGCCGGGTGGTTGCAGTGAAGCGCCTCTATGAAACCAACTACCGGCGCGCCGAGCAATTCATGAATGAGGTTAAGATAGTCTCCCTGCTACGCCACCAGAATCTTGTTAGCCTCTATGGCTGCACCTCCCGCCATAGCCGGGAGCTCCTCCTAGTTTATGAATTCATCCCAAATGGCACAGTTGCTGACCACCTGCATGGTTCTAGAGCATCTGAATCATTCCTACCATGGAATGTAAGGATGAACATTGCCATCGAAACCGCTGATGCTCTCAACTACCTCCACTCCGTCGAGCCGCAGATCATCCACCGCGACATCAAGACCAACAATATCATGCTTGACAACAGCTTCCATGTCAAGGTTGGTGACTTTGGCCTATCCAGGCTCTTTCCACTTGATGCCACACACGTATCGACCGCCCCGCAGGGAACACCGGGTTACGTCGATCCTGAGTACCACAAATTCTTTCAGCTCACAGACAAGAGTGATGTTTATAGCTTTGGAGTAGTATTGATGGAGCTCATATCATCAATGCCCGCAGTTGATATTAACAGAAAGTTTAATGAAGCCAATCTGGCTTACATGGCAATAAAAAAGATACAAAGGCAGGAGTTGCATGAGCTTGTGGATCCTAGGCTGGGTTTTCATACAGATTCCAACATAAATTCTATGATCTCTCAGGTAGCAGAGCTGGCATTGCAGTGCTTGCAGTCAGAGAGGGAGATGAGGCCCGCCATTAAAGTGGTCCTGGAGGTTCTGAGAGAAATAGAAAAAGCTGGTTTTAAGAGTGGAGATTGTATGGAGGTAGCTGATGCAGTGAAGGAGGAAGCATGTTTGCTGAAGAACATTCCTCCCTACTCTCCTAATTCAGTTGCAGACAGATGGATCAGCATCTCTTCCTCAATATCCAGCTTCTCCGGGTGAGTGCAAACTATTGCTTCATTTACAGATTTCTTCCTTAATTTTTTTTTTTTCTTTCATATTGTGCCCTTTTGAGTTGATTAGTGCAGAGCTGAAAGGGTTTGTATATATAGGGTTTTGATATGATATATACAACTTTATGCAACAGAGGAGATGTTGCTGCAAATATAGATTGATTGGTTAACTTTGTTGAAACTCTGCTGTAACCATCATTAGTTTACTTGTATATTTTTTTACAGTGAACTAACCATAGGCACGTACAGTTTTATGCTGAACAAAGCATTGTGTGATGAGAACTCACAGTGCATGAATTCTTTTTTCCATATATATTTTCATGCATTGTGTAACTCCAATGTTCCCAAGTTTTGGAAGGCACAAAGAATGCTAATAAGAGAAAGAAGATTTACATACATATTATAGAAGTTTTCTTTATTTATACATCTAATTAATTTTTTATTTTTCATAATTACATCAAATGTCATATGGTGCCGAATGTTGGCCATTAAAAGGAAGCATAATACTAAGTTAAGTGTTGCAGAGAGATGAGGATGCTTAGGTGGATGAGTGGCTTTATCCTTAGAGATAGGATATGATATGAGTATATACGTGAAAAGGTTGGAGTAGCTCCAATGGAAGATAAGATTAGAGGGGGTCGCCTTAGATGGTTTGGTCGCATTAAACGGAGGCATTCCGATGATTCGGTTAGGAAAGTTGAGGTATTAGATTTGACTTATGTTAAAAAAAGTAGAGGTGGACCTAAAAAGACTTGGTTAGAAAATATTAGAAATGATCTGTCTTTATTAGATTTAAATGAGAATTTAACTTTTAACAAAACAATGGCGAAAAAGGATTCATGTAGGTGACCTCACGTAGTGGGACAAAGGCTTGATGTTGTTGTTGTTGTATAATTACATCAAATGTCAGCATGAAAATATACTTTTTATTTTAGAAAAAAGAATATTAGTTATATATTTTTTATGTAATTTCAAGATTTTGATATTATATAAGTAAATATAACAAATATATATGAGTATGTATGTTAATCCCTCTAAAATAACTAGCTACACTGAAGTTTGTAAAATTGAAAATGTGATTGCTGAAAATTATTTGAATTGAATGGCTTAAGTAATGATGGTTATTGAAACCTAACTGAAAGTGAACAAAAATAATAAATCTTTGGGAGGATTAGTCTTCATTTTGGATACTTTTCTTATTGTTTGACTTTTTTCAGATCGTAATCATAGTATCTATTTGTCTACTATTTGTTATTGTTTTCACAAAATTTATGTGTTACTTTGTTAGAAAGCTACTTTTTATAGTAATTAAAAAAAATTCCCACAATAATTTTATAATCATCTTTACAAAATTCGGTAGCCATTCCAAATTGACTCTTGGAATTTATTCATAACGCCTAATTTAACTTTGTCAAATTTAAGTGTTGAACTAGGATTGATTTGAAATGCAACCCAACTTATATGTACCCACGGGTATGCTAAGAGTTTTTTTAATGATATTTAGGCTTCGGGATAACTTTTTTATTACTTTTTAAAGTAATTTTTAGCATAAAAAATTTTAGTTCAAATATTTTTTATACCAAAAAAATTGCTTTTTAAAAGTAGCAAGCAAGCTATCCCAAACGAAGCCTTAAGCTGGCACAGTTCATTTGTATTTGTTTCAAGCAGGACAGATTTGGGCCGAGACAGAAATGCCTATATTGAACTTGTTAGGACTCATATTTAGAACTGATTTATTGGGTAATTATCATTTGCTAAGGTTTAGCTAAATATTATATTGTTAATTGAAGCTTTATAAAATATTGAACATTTCTCTTATATTTACTTTTATTTTATTTGTTTATTAATTTAATTTAAAATTATCCTTTTGACCTTTGAAAAATATAATTAAAGGGGATACTTGAAATTTTATTTGAAAAATTCACATGAAAAGCTAGGTTCCTAATCTATATAAAAATTTATCTAATATGGATGAAGGAAATAGTGAATGTAATTGAGAAATAAAATATAAAAATATTAACATAAGTTGTATATATTTACTTGTTTAGATTTTCACTTGATTTTTATTTTGATAAGAAATCATATGCCCATTTTATTATAAAAGTTTAAAGGGTGAACTAATCATTTTTTGTTTAATTAATAGAAGTTGTATTGGAAAAGTATAATGCAAGGGAAGGTATTTAATATTTTGCCGATCTCAAGTGGTTTAATATTTGTTTTTTTTGTTTTTGGTGTTTTAGGGGACATTTCGGTCAATTAAGATAACCTCTCACACATCACATCTACAAGACTCGAATTCAAGATCTCTTGGTTGATAGTCAAAGCTCCCAACAAACGGACCAAGATGAGCTGTGTGGATTAAAACATGTATTTTTGGATTGAATTTTATTGTGTCGTTAGAATCTTTGTAATAAAATAGCTAAGAAAACAATAATGCTTAGGAAAGATAGAGAAAAAAAAACTTAATGTGATGTTCTTAATTTTATTGAATTGCAAAAAAAGAATAAGATTAATGTCAACCATCATATAATCATAGGTCTATCTTGAGTCCTTTTTTTCAAGTTTCTCATTGTGTGAACTTCGTCCAATCTTCCCTTTCTCACCTTTTTTATGATTTAGATTTCGTTTAGGACAGCTTTTTTAAAATAAGATTTTAAAGTTGTTGTACAAAGTATTTTTCTAGCACAATTTTTTTTTTAACTATAAAAAATAGTGACCAAATAAAAATTATAATTGTGATCTAAAAATCAAAGCAGTAAGAAAGTTGTCCCAAATGAAGATTTGGTTTATTTGAGAGAAAGAAAAAAAGCAAAAGAGGAAAAGGGTGGCGATAAAAAATTAAAAAAAATAATAATTAAAAATTGTCCAAGGGTTATACCAACATCCATTACATAAAACTAATGAAAAAAAAAATCATAAATGTGTCTCATACTTAAGCAAGTCAAATTATTATCATAATTTTTTATTTTAAAAATATGAGTTCCCCAAAAGGATTATTTTTCTAAAAGTTGATTACCTCTTAAGAATACTCCCGATAAAAAGTGACTTTGTGCTTCAAATTCTATTAGCTAGTTATATCAAGAAAATATCATTTCATGATTCTATCATCTTATAATGAGTTTTTATTCTGTACGGGCACCGGACGGGAGAACCGTTCGATTAAGCACTGGGTACCCAGCGGTACCTAGGGGTATCGAGTGCGGGCACCGTGCTGGGTACCCAATCATGGGGTGTCGTCGTATATTTTTATTGGCCTTCAGATGCCCTCCATACTCCGCACAGAATAATAAATCTCTTATAACACTATGCCATTGGGCATTTTGGTTTGTCCTAGGAGCAGTTGGATGGAATCTGGGTATACTATAGAGAGGGCATAGAGCTGCTGATTCTTTTGTTTGCTAACCTATTTGTCATCTTCTATATTTTGCTCTTATCACAATATATAAAAATGAAATAAAAATGTTCCTAGTCTATGGCTTAATCTTCATATGCAAATCTGCACAACTTAAATAAAATTATCATATTGAATTCATTAGCATATTTGTGACCATCAAAATATAACTTGACATAAGACTTATGTCAACACACACGCAGACACACGGTATATATATTAAGTTTCTTGATTCAAATTAGCTCAAAAGTTGACTTAAAATTGATAATTTTCTTACATGATTCAAAGGAGAATCATCCCAAACATCCTTAGTACTTTCCTTGAACTTCTTGTGTCACATTTTCCATTGCCTCAAGATCACTCAACCTTCATCTCGAAGAATAAGATTATCCATGCCATTCTCAATAGTTTAATCAACTTTTTTTTTAAGCAAATAACTCTCAATACTAAAATAAAAATTTCAAAAAAAAAATAATTTTTATAGTATAGAAAAGACTATATCCAATTAAAATTTTCTACATGCCCTATAGGGATAAAGTTATTCATAATTCACAAAAAAGATAAGAGAATAATCATATTGGTCTAAATATATAAAGAAAATAATATCATACTATTACAATATAAATGGATCCAATTATCTAAAGGGGAGGAGATGTAACAACTCAAACTCTTAACTATAGAGATATTATCCGCTTTGGCCTAAAAGCCTCACGGTTTTGTCATATTGGTGTAACTTCTTAGTAGGTCACACATCACAGAATTGTTCTAGGATGAGCACGTTTAATACTAGAGCTTTCTACGAAAATTGCTGCCACTAAACCAAAAGGCATCTCGATGTTTAAGAGTTTAGTTTCTTTTTACTTAAGGGGTTTCACAATATCTCCCAGTTAAATAATTGGTGTCTTCGTCAGTATCTTTATCCCAAAACATCCACTAGGTAGATAAGATTTTAGAGGTGACCCCTACCAAGTGGTGGCTCTCATCATGTAACACTTTATCCTATATAGGGTTCAAGAGGTGGCTCCCATGACATAACACTTTATCTTGTATGACACTTAGTTCCCATCTTCCAGCTAGTGTATTGCTCTGATACCATTTGTAATAACTCAAACTCTTAACTATCAAGATATTGTTCGCTTTGGCATAAGAGCCTCATGATTTTGTCATATTGGTATAACTTTCCAGTAGATCACCCATTCTAGAATTGTTTCGGGATAAGCATGCTTAACAGTGGAGTTTCTTACAAAAATTTCAATAATTATACCAAAAGGTGCCTCTATATTTAAAAGTTTGGCCTCTTTTTACTTAAGGTGTTTCACAAGAGAAGCATATGTTATATTGTGACTATGGCTTCGTTTGGGATCTCTTTTACAGCTTTACTTTTTTGGATTGCAACCATAGTGTTTATTTGGTCACTACATTTTCATTGTTTTCAACATTTTTTTGTATTAAGAAGCTACATTTTACAACAACTTTCAAAAAATTATTTTTTCCATATTTACTTTACAACAACCTTTTATAAAAAGTTGCAAATGTCCCAAACGAACCCTTTATTTCTAAATCACCAATCTAGTAATTCTAAAAGAAGATATTATATAGAGTATGCATTTTGAATTCTTTGAAAAATGAGCTTCTTAGATGAGACCCCTCATGATTCTATAATTAATAGATGAAGTTTCATGAATTTTTAATGGATGATTACCCTTGAAAGATGATCAATAATATTAATAAGCTAGATGGTTAGTAGAGAAGGCTTGGGAGAGAGGAGAACAAGTTCAAAAGAAAATTTTTCATTAGCATAAGGATCTATAACATTTTAAACTTTATGAATCTAATTTGTTTATGTATATATATGTGGTATGATGGATTCATTCTCATTACTACTTGGGAAAACAATCAAGTTTCAGCTAACTTACATCAAGTCTAAGTCAAATAAAATCTATGGGTGGAAGACAAAATTGAAACTATCCAACAAGAGAATGTTTAATGGATTCTCCAATTAAAAAATCTCCTAGTCAAAATGAGAGACTAGATGTTTACCAATGAAAAGAGTTGATTGTGTTATTCTATAAGATATAAGGGATGGGATTTACCATGAAGAGCATCCTAAAAAGAGAGAGTTGGATCAAGGGATGAAGCTAAGCCATAGTTGAGCAAACAATGGCTAGTTGTACCAATAAGGATCACCAAGAAAATAGTATTTACTAAAAGAGAAATCAAAGAAGAGCTCGAAACTTCAATGAAGGAATTCGCCATATCAGCATGCAATAAGAACGGAGTAGTGGATATAAATAACGGGAGAGTGAGACCTTATCATGAAGAAGATCGATCATAATGCTCAAGGGTGTATATATTGTACAGATAGAAAGGAAGTCTAGTTTATTCAATAGGAAAATTGAATTTAGGAATGATAATACGTTCTTATTCATAATAGACCTTAGACATTGATATCAAATGGTCGGAGGGGGCCAACTGAGAATCTTACATGAGGGAACTGCACCCTCTCAACACTATATTAGATCATGAATGAGGTAGCTAAAGTTGAAGATAAGGTAATCCTAAATCTACTTTTTCCACTTTGAATCCACTTTTACGTCATAGTATCTTCATATCCAAAAAAGTGTTTGTTTTTGCTACCTACAAACGAAAGCTGCGCCTCCTTCAATAGCAACGGGTCACGGCAACACAGGAGCTCGCTCGTTGTGACGATAAACCCATTCGTGCGCTTCTTCAGCCAAATCTTGTAAATTTGGTCCAGTATCGGACGCTTCTTCAGCCAAATCCCATAAATCCGCCACCATTACGAATAGTTAACTTTGCCTCCTTCAACCGCAAACTATGACGGTGGTCCTTTCTTCTGCGAACAACGATAATGATGCGACTGGAGCTCGCTCGAAGAAACAGGTCATTCCTTTCTCCCATTTCACGCGCTTCTTCGACCAAATCCCATAAATCCACCCAATACATGAGAAATTTTGGTTAATTCCGAGTTGGCGGGTTGACCCGAACTTGACCTATTTATTAAACAGATCAAATCGAATACGAAATGTTCTGGTCAGATCAGGGTCAAGTTGTTAGGTCGTGTCAGCATTTGACACCCTACAGTAAGTCAATAATTTTTCTAACTACTAACTATTTGTAATTATTCAAATACATTTTTAATTATTTCTCTAAATTAAAGTCCAATGATGACATGCATATAGCATGCCAATAATAAAATTGCCTGCCTTATTTTTGTATTATTAGGTAAATTGCACAGTTGACATTATCTTATCTGATAGAAAATCATCAAACTTATTAAAAAAACAATATTTATTATGGTCAATAAATGACATGTTTGATCTCATCCTTTCACATTTCCATGTGTGGAGCTTCTATGAGATTATGAATTCTTTTGATGGCTATGTAAAGATGATGCATTTTTATTATAGCATTTAATATAAAAGGAATTTTTGAATACAGAGAAACATTCACGAACTTTCATTTCTTAGAAAAGTTTTCCTGAAAGTTTCCTTCCAATCAAAATATCCTATACTTCTGATAGAAATAAAATATTAAAAAAATTGCAATTGAACAGATCAAATCCACTGTTCCAAAGCATTAGAAAGCTGCAAATCACACAGAATTTCTGCTAAAACAAGCTTTGCTTGATCAGGAACCTTATATGTCGAAAGAAAACTTGATAGCTTCTCTTCTGCTTTCTTCTTCTCCATGCTTACAATTCTGAAAAAAAGAATAACTAAAATAATAGGATAATATAAAATGCATTATCATCTTCTAAATAATATTTCATTGCCTTAAAGCAGATTTCTAAAAATCTGCTTTAAAAATCAGTAAGGAAGTCGTCCCAAACATGATCAAAACATCTTGATTCTCTTAACTTTGTTTGAGGCAATGAGAGTGTGAAATATGTTAACTATAATAAATCTTACCCATTTAACTTCAAGGCAAGGTAAGAATCAGCAAAGTGCTGTGCACTACGGAGGCTGAGGCATTCACATAAGCGAAGCTGGCTCTCCTGCAAATAATACTTTTGATTTTGGCTTTCTGCTAAGTAGAAAGTTGATGTACTTGCAGGAGTAATTTTGGTCACAATTCTCCTGTTCAGCTTCATCTGCTGCTCAACCTTAGACTCCTGCGCCTGCTTCTTCTCCTCTTCTGTTGCATAAAATATAGCTGATCGATGGTGTGTGCTCGCTCCAAATCTCTGCCATTCATGAAATTCAAACAGTAGGTTTTCTTATCATTTGCGTATGTAAGACACTACAGAAAAATGCACTATCTACAAATAAAATTAGCCGGTAACACTAGAAATTCGCCGGAAATCATCTCTTTCCGGCGCAATACCGGCGAAAATTGTTCCGACCATAATTGGTGCGTCGGTAAATCTAAACTGACGAAAACTTTTGGCTGAAAATATTTCCGGCGAAATTCCGACGGAAAAAAGCAGCGTTGATTACCAAATAATCTTTGTTAGTAGGGTCATGGCTTTCAAAAAAAGCTTGCAGAGTGATTTGTATGTCGTCTTCCTCTTATCGTATGTCACCTTCACAGCCTCTGTATGCCCCGTCTTCCCTTCCAATACCTTCATGAAAAATACTAACAGCTGTGAACCATGAAGAACTAGCTAGTAAAGAAATAACTAAATTATTATCTCATGATCTTCTTCTCACCTGGTTATAAATTGGCTTAGCTATCGTTCCTCCAAAGTAGCCAACCGCGGTTCTCACCGCACCGCTGTCAGCGCGGCAAATAGCGGCTTCCAGCTCCCAGAAACTACCTGCAAGTAGTTGCTACGTTCTCAGTTATAAAAAATAAAAATTACCTTAATTTCTCAGTTTCTTGTGACAAGCAAGACAATATGAGAAAAATAAGGATCAAAGATGGAAGTTTTAACCACTCACCTGCAGCAAATATGGCTTCTTTTAAAAATACTGCCTGCGGGAGATAAGAAGAAGAAGAATGGTTTCTATCATTATCGCCATGGATGTGCTGAGCTTTGGATTGAGAGAGCAATCTGTACATCTTTGCTTTGATATTGGTGGTGAGAGATGATTGAAGAGAATAGTAATTGGAAGCTTTGTCTGATGTTAGATACAATTTATAAAGATGGACTGGTTTGGTTTCTATAATATTTTTTGTTTTCTATTTTGAAAAATTTGCAAATCTAATAGCTAGCTAAGTTTTAATATTTATTCATATAAAACTTAAGAACATTTTAATCATATCAAAATATTTACAAACAGTTTTTTTTTAATCTTTTGCCAGTTTTGATTTAGGATTTTATGCTGTTTATTTGTCATTTTTTCAGATCATTGGCTTTAGGGGAAAATAAAATAAAATAAAAAAAAATAAAAGTAAGCAGCTGTAAAGATTGAACTTGACTTCTTAAGTTTGATGTCATCTACAGCTAGAATAGAATAACGTTATAAGCTTATAATAAATATCGATCGAAGACTGATTCATCAGAGATAGAGCCGTGCATTGTTCTATCCCTTTGTGGAGAAGAAGAGTTTGATTTGACCAATGGCCAGCTTTGATGCAGGGTAAGGGTTAGCTGGCTTATTTTTTTTAATTTGTCAACAATTAATATTGAATTATTATTCTTATTTTACTCTAATTTCACAATTTTAAAAGTGATTTGTTATGAATATTTTATTCTATAGTTCTAATGCATGCATTGTGGTCTAGAGTTGAAGGCTATATAATATTATAGATTGAGAGCAAAGGAGAGAGAGAGAGATTTTTTTGGGTGGTTGGGAGGATTTATGAGCCAAAAGATGGGCTTAGGCCTTTCATTTTTTTATGTAAAAAGAAACTTATGAGCTAGCTCAAGATGAGCCAAAAGATAAGTTTTCTTAACCAAAAAAAGTAGACACCAAAAGACAAAAAAAGATGGCGCATTACATCCAAATACATGCAAAAGATATAAAATGGAGAAAGCAGTATAAAAAATGGTTCCATGACTCAAAGAAAAGTAAAACCAATCAAATCAAATATAACATGCCCATGAATTGCCTTGGTTGTCTGAAGACCGTCCTAGGGGAATGGCCTGTGTATGGGGAACATCATTATCATCCTGTAATGGCCAAAAATTCCCTTAGGTTATAGAATAAAAGCATAATAAACCATCAAAGAATAAGGTATCTGGCAATAGAACAAAATAGCAGCTTCCTGATATTGAAAAAATTACCTTATGTCAAAACGAATGTGCTTGAATAACATCATCTAAGAAGGCATAAAGAAAAAAACGAAATGGCAACAAAACTAGCATACACATGACAACGATTCCAATAATTTTTCTCCATCTTCCACTCGATTATTTTGATAAATACTATTTATTTTAATTTTATGACAGATAATAGAAGAGCTAGCATCAGCATTGCAAAACTTCATATCATTGCTTTCTTTCCATAGACAATAGATAGAGTAGCATATTATGAACATATAAAGGCATTTAGCAATAAAGACAGAAAAAACCATGGCATCTATATGCTAAAAAATTTGAAGCACATTAGACCTAAATAAAAACAAGCACCAAATTAGCTAGAACAGAAAATGAGTAGTTGCATTCAAAGTATAAATGAGAGCTTTTTTACATAGAACTATGATAAAGACTGCATATAGGATTCACATTGATGCCTCTTTTAAGAAGAATATTAGTAGTTTTTAACCCACCCATCAACGACATCTAGTAGTAATTAGAAAAATAAAGAGCCTAGTGTTTATGCCAAATAAAATTATACCAAGAACAAGGTAGCCCATGTTTGTAAAATTCAGCCAAATACCTCTTAAATTATATCTGAAATATCCCATAACAAACAAAAAGAAGAAGCATCCTAAATAGGTATATGAGAAATGGCATCAACAAGCAAATTGTGAACATTAGCAGGTATAGTCTAGGCATGTTCATTTAATAAAACATCAGTTGTTACATTGGGTGGGATAGAATGAATGAGGGTTTGAGAGAAAGGAAGATCCAAGAGAGATCTCTCAGTGGACCAATGATCCCAATGCAGGGAAATAGGTTTAGTACCTTGAAAGGGAAACTTCTCTTAAACAAGGGAGGCAGTGGCACATATGCTTTTCCAAAATGGAGAAGGATGATAGTGAGAAGTGCCAAGGAGAGATGTATCTGAAGAAACACAATTTAGATGGGGGAAACGAGGTGTTGTATATCTTGTTAAGAAGAGAGCTAGCAATTATAACCAAATTGGATATAGATGGAGTACTCAAACCACATTGATATTTAGGAATGCAAGATTTTGCCCAAGAAATAAGGTGCATTTTCCTAGCTTCCTACAAAGTACAAAAACTTAGCACTAAGCTTGGAAATGTATTTGATTGTAGATTTTGGAAGGATGGTGAATCCAGTAAGTTATAGAATTCCAAATATTAAATATCAAGTATTGAAGTCTACCTGCAAAAAAGAGATATTTGACTTTCCAACCATAAAGCTTGTTAGTAATATATTCTGGTAGGGGAAAGAAATCAACAAGCTTGACTCTTTAGGAGGAGATGGTGTGATAATTTGACGGGGGCTATGGAGTGAACTTTTAAATTATATAATAATCTAGGTCTCTACAACTCTAAATAATGCTTAGGTTTTACTTTCAGAGGGAACCGGAGAAATACTAAATTTATTTAAGTGGTTGAATTCTCTTACAAACATATATATCATTATAATTATTTGTAAAAAAATATAAAAACGGCAACTGGCACTGTGATGCTTAAAATAATGGCACTGCGACACTCCTGAAGTGAACTAGCGCCTTGGCGCTGAAGCTTTTGCACCATCACAACACTTTTTGATGTTGATAGGTTACTTGATCAACAATCGTGCTATTCACTGATAAAACATGTACCTTGGAAGTTATAAATGCTACGCCACGTGCAAAATGATACAAGGCGTGAGAAATTATATGCACTGCTATATTTGAAAATAGAGATTCTGACGCTGCCAAGCTAACTTTCTAATGACGCAACACTGACAATGTTGTGACACTATTAGTGTTGCCATCACAACACTTATGAACAGAGAACTTGGTACCACCATGTTAGAATTGAAGCGCCTCAGTGGTATTGAAGGAAGCACTGTGGAGTTGTTTCTTTGAATGCCGCAGTGCTATTGAATACTTAGAACTTTCTGCCACTTTTAAGTGTTTCCTATACAAAAATAACTAAAATAATATATTTTTACTAAAAATAAAAAATATAAAATAATATATAATTTACGCTTATCAAATTCTTTTCAACTTAAACTATTGCTTGTCCTCAAGTAAATAAAGAAATATGCAATTAATTATAATTAATCAAATAACTAAAATAAAGATTGATAATTTAAAATTACTAAAATATAGGATAATATATCATGGTCTAGAAGTAGTAGAAATGAACAAAATTATAATTCTAGCTTGAAAAATACTAACAATTATCCTAACTAGCCGTCTTTATTATTGCTTAATTTGAATTCACATATTATAATTTAAATAATCTAAGTTAGTAAATTATTAATTTTTTTAATCTATGAATTCATAAAGTCATATTTATTTAAATTATAAGATTGGATTTTATTATTATCTTAATTTTATATTATTTTTAATAATCATTTTTTAGGGTTAATAAAATAATTATAATGCATAGATATCAATGAAATATAATATAAAATTTTAAGCATAAGAGGATTTAATCAGATGTATATAACAACATACATAAACATGAATAAATAACACATATTTTTATATGAATGATAGGAAGGTACAAAACAATCTTTTATAATATAAAGATAACTAGTGCTATAAACACCATCACACCATTACAATACATTGGCTCTCATAGCTATAATTCTAGTAATGCTAACACAATAACAATCCTTCTGCCTAAAAATAAGAGTAGCATTCACACACACACACACACACATATTAAAATACAAAGAAAGTGAACACTACTTATATGCATATTCATGATTTTTTTATTCTAAATTATTCTTATCCACAAGGCACAAGGTTTCATTCTATGACTATTAATCATGAAAATGTGAAAAGTTTGCTTATCCTAAATCCTTATGACAAATAGGACAACAAGTTTTTATCTCTTGTTGGGAGAGTGACATTAATCAATTCTTTTCTTCTTTCTCTCCCATCATACTTTATTTCTAGCTCACTCCTTAGTTTCAAAAGGAATTCTTGATGATCATGATATCTTTGTCTTCCGTGTAGAAATGGTGGCCTCAGTTTTCATTCGGCTTCTATTTGGGAAGGACCTTTAAGAGCTAAGTTAGCTTGAAATTTTCTTTAAAAGCAATATTCTTTTCTAATAGAAACATTAGTGCTAAATATGGTAGCAATATTTGGTCTTCTTTTCAAAAAGGAAATTCTACAACTTGGAAAATTCTTTTAGATGGTTCGAAACATTTGAAGCCTTTTGTGAGATGGAAAATTAGAAATATAAAGAATATCAGCAATTTAAATGACATTTGGATTGGTGATATATCTATTAGTATGTGGTCAAGATTTTTTAATGTTAACAACTTTGAAGATTCATCAATTGACAAGTTATTATTTGAAAATAGAAATTAGAATTTAAGAGTGATGCATGATTTTTTGGAGAAGAACTGATTAATATTATCAAGAAAAATTAATTCATTCCACATCAAACCAAAGATAAGATTGAGTTAATTTATCAATTTTTAGGAAAAAAAAACTATCGATGCTTTGGCTTTTGAAGAAAAATATAAGTTTGTCGATACAAATAACATGAAATGGTTGAAGAAAATCAAATTACAACCCATAGTTTTCTTTTTCTAGTGGAGGCTTATGAGAGATTCTCTTCCTACTAACAGCTGGCTCAAGCATAGGAAATTAAAATATTCAAATATCTATCCAAAAGGCTGTCTTCTTGAAGAAAATATTTAGCATATTTTTGTTTCCTATAAAAAATTGAAAGAGGTATTCTTTGTTCTAAATAAATGGCCCGGGAGTTCCAATTCCATTTTTTCAATCCTTTTCTGATATGATGTAACATCT